GCCAGCTGGGCAAAAACTTAGCAAGACCCCCTTCTCAACTAATAAGCTGGGCCTATGGTTCATCTCTCTAATCCCAGCTACACAGGAAGCATACATAGGAGCACCACGAACTGAGGCTGGCCCCCAGGCAAAACACACTAGACTATCTGAAAAAATAACCAAAGGTTAAAAAAGGGGTTGCTGGGGGCATGGTTCAAGTAGAAGAGCACCACTGCTTAGCAAGCATAAAGCCTTGAGTTCAAACCCCAATACCTAAAGACACAAAGAAAAGCACAAATAAAAGAGGGAACATTACAAGAAATGCCAAAAATTCTTTCAGAATATCTCTGAGAAATTTTGCTAATATTCTCAAGTAAACTGGGAAATTTTGTTGATATATGGCAACTATTTAGATAGCAAGGGGATTATATATTACTTAGTAGCTTATTACCTGCTAAATCATATAATTCTTCTCCCAACCATTTGTTATGAATATGCCAAAAATTTGATATATTAAAATAAAAATTTGAGGTTTTTTCTACTGAGATTCAACAATTGTTAAGCATTTCCTGATCAGCTATCTCTCCATTTAAACACTGTGACATGACATCTCAACCCTAAATAATTCACTACTGAATCTCTTTATCATAGGAGCCTTCACCTATCACACAGTGACAATATCATCACCATGGCCAGGAAACACTTTATAATGCTACCTAATATCCACCTAGGTCACAGACTTTTCATAGAAGTCTTTGATGAACACTTTTCATAAGATGAAAAGTGCTAGAGATAGAAGGTGATGGTTGTGCAATATGAATTCATATGAAATTCAAAACAGGTAAACTAACCAATGGTGGAAAAGTAATACCAATAGTTGCCTTTGGTGGGGCCAAGGGTGTGGGATTGCCTGGGAAAAGGAACAGAAGGTCTTCTCAGGTAAGGAAGTGTTTTAGTCCATTTTCCATTAATACAACAAAACACCTAAGGTTGGCTAATCTTTCAAGGAAATGCAGTCTGATTCTTGTGAATTTGCCACACCAAGGAGGTACCCACAGTCTCCAAGGTCAAATGGGCCTCCAAGTTCATGAAAATAATAATAAGTAAAAAGGTGGGGACATACATTTGCACCAAGAGAAAGCAAGAGGAGCTCTGAGCAACGTCCTGAACAGTGTGAGGAACACAGCTGTCAAGAAACTCGGAGCCCCATAAAATCTTTGTGTGGGGTGGGGGGGAGGGGGGAGCAGCACGGTAGTTTTACTTTTCACGTTAAAGTCTATAATCCATCTCAAATTAATTCTATACAAGGTAAGACATATACACTTACCAATCTAAAATAAACAATGTCAATTTTTTTCCCTGTGTGTGTGTGTGTGTGTGTACACGTGAACTTTTTTGAGATAGGGTGTCATTATTTAGGCCAAGCTGGGCTGAGCTCTCCTATATATCCCAGGCTAAAACCTCAAACTCTCAATCCTCAAGCCTCTTCATCCCAAATGCTGGGATTACAGGCATGTACAACAATGCACAGAAACAATGTCTTCTTTTCTCTTGAACACTTCAGGAATGTGGAATAAATGAACTCCATTTATATGACTTTGAACTTATAGGACTTTGTTTCCATAATTTTATATCATGTTTTATCTCAGCCTTAAAGATCCTGCTGCTTTTGCTTTATACACTTAGTGTTCAGCTACATTTTCCCACATAGTTCATTAACATATCCTTTTTCTCTTTAATCCTTCCTGCACCACAAATTTTCAATAGGGGCTCATTTTCCTTCAATCTCAGGTATACCACTTAGAATTTGTTTTAATGAGGGTTTAATGGTGAAAAACTACTATTTGAAATAATTTTTATTTTGCCTCAATCATGAAACAGATTTTCACTAGATGTAGAATTCCAGGAAGACAGTTATTTTCTCATTTTTTGGGGAAGAGGCGCAGTACAGGGGTTTAAACTCAGGGTGTTACACTTGCTATGCAGTATTCTACCACTGAGCCACAACTCAAACCCTTTTTATTTTTTTTAATAGAATCTCACATTTTTTGCCCAGACTAGCCTCAAACTGCGATCTTCCTACCTACACCTCCCACACAGCTGGGATTATAGGCATTCAAACTCCAGTACAACCAAAATAAATAAATAAAAATAAAAACAGTATGTAACAAGAGACAACTCTTCACTAGGTGGAACTATCATGTTCACTGCAAGACTTACAACATCCCTGACACCCCTCTTGGATGCCAAAAGCAACCTCCAATAAATGTGATAACCTAAAAGTCCCCACATAAATTTCCAAAATACCTTTCACATCTCCTCACATAAAACACTGCCCTCCATAGTCTGGTATTCTCCCTTTCATCCTCACTTTGCTACCACATGGCCTATTTACTACCCTTTCATATGTAAGGATCACAGTGAACTCAGTGACTTGGCACATATGATCTCTACCTAGCATGCTGTCACCACTGATAACCAAATGGTACAGTATCTCACCTTCTTCAAATATTTGACTCTTGGTCAAATACCTCACTCTTGGTCCTTACCTGGCTATTCCACTTTCTTTGTCTCCCTGGCACTTATCCCACCACAGAAATATTATGTATTTTACTTATTTGGTTACTGTTCATGTCCTCTCACTTGAATATGAGCTCAATGACAAAGAAAGTTCTGTCCATTCTGTTCAGTAATATGCCCTCTATAAACATAGATTAGTGATAGCACAAATTAAACATTCATTTAATAGGTATTTCTGGAATCAAATGAATAAATGTCCAACAGTATGGTAATGAACTGTTATATTCACACAATGGACTATTATGTACCTATGTAAAATTAGACTTTTAGAGACGTTTTAAGGGGGAACGATTATATATTTATGTTAAAAAGAAATATCCAGGGCTAGAGGTGCGGCTCAAGCAGCAGAGCACCTGCCTCATAAGCACAAAGCCCTGAGTTCAAACCCCAGTACCACCACAAAAAGAAGTATCCAAAAATAGACACAGTCTAGCCAATATGTGTTCTCTAAAAACAAGACATACTTGACAAACTGTACTTCATAATCACTTGGTTCACAGACTGGAGAAAGTCAAATATAAGATGATGAATTATGGGCAGAATGATGTATGGTGAAGTACTTAGCATAGATGTTAGATCTTATTCAAAAAGTTTTAGATTTTTTTTCTCCATAACTCTGTCTTAGTACAAATTTTTATCAATAAACTAGATAAAAAGTTACCAAATATACAAATGGCACAAAGCTGAAAGAGACATTTAATATAAAAGATGATCAAATTCCAATTCAAAATCATTCTACTAGGCTGAACACCAATATGCCAACAATAAGAAGAAATTCAGCAGAGTTAAAACATATTATATAGACCAAAAAATAGGAATAGAAATCTTGGCAATAATTCATCTTTTTTTTTTAATTGTCAAAGTGTGGTGTGACCATTAAAAGTCTCAGAATACATTAGCAGAAAGAAAAGTACTAAATACTCCATCCTGGTCAAATCACATGTGAAATTCTATGTTGAATCTAATTTAGAACACCTTATTTTAAGAAAAACATAAACTAGTCTACCCAAAGGAAGGCCATTTGATTGCTGAGGGGTCTAGATATATCAATTCATGAAGATTATAAAAATAGAAAAATCCAGATCACTGGGAAAAATATGTACTTTTAAACCATTGGGGCTAGGATAACTATCCATTTTATTACTTTTAAATTTTATTTTTTACAAACACATACAGAAAACCTAAACTCCAATCTAATTTATACTTTTCCAAAATTGAGATAAGCCATCATTGAGACTAGTTTTTGAAGAAACTTTGTATGAATTAGTCCATAAAGTCCATAATGATAGCTCTATCAATTCTTGGATCTTAATAGTACCTGTCAGTTACTGAGAGCATGTAACGTATTCTACTAAGCACTTTATGTAATCTCATGTAATCCATACCAAAACCCTAGGTGTCATTAAATACTACTGCTGTTCATAATAGCAGAACTGTCTCATCCAGAGAAGAATGGATACTGAAATATACTCATATACTGGAATACTTCTACACAATACTAAAACTATGAACTCTACCTGCATAGGAATCTCAAAAATCTAAGATTATGAAAACCCCAATTTTCAAAAGAAAATACATCATGCTAATTCTATCTATATAAAGTTCAAAGTCACAATGAAGAGCAGAGAGCTCAATACATGTCAGAATTAAAAAGATAAGACTGTGGAAAGGGACACGAAGAATTTCAATGGTATTTGTTTTGGGCATTTCTCTGTTGTTAATTTGTTTTGGGATTTTGTTTCCTGTACCCTAGACTGGCCTGGAACTTAAGATCCTCCTGCCTCAGCTTCCAGAGTGTGTTGGGATTATAGTGTATACCACCACATCCAGCTCAACAGTATTGGGCCGGTAGAGTGGCTCAAGTGGTAGACTACCTGCCTAGTAAGTGTGAGACCCTGAGTTCAAACCCTAGTACTGCAAAAAAAGAAAGAAAAAAAAAATAGCAGCTCAACAGTATTTGTTAATCTTCTATTTCTCAAATTGGGTAGGAGATATACAAGAATGATTTTTACTTTTCATACTTTGTGTGTTTCAATTCATAAAATAGTGCCTAACACAAGAAAAATAGTACTATTAAAAAGAACACTATTTTTATGTAACTCTGTTTTTAAGCAGAGTGTAATCTCTGAAACTAGCTGGACTTCATCTACATTTCAAGAAAAAAATAAGGGTGATGTTTAATCTTTGTTCTTAAAACCTACTGGTAAAACAAGCTAATCAATTTTCATTTTTGTAAGATAAATTTTATCAATAGATGAATTTGGAATAAATCAAAACTTAAGAGTGTAATCTTTAAACCTTTTGAAGAATTAAGGTTCCTAACACCTTAGCCCAAGATCATCAGCAATTTAGCTGGAGTCTCCAGTGCCCAAGTAAGAGATCCAATTTCCATCACCAAGTCTTTCACATTTTCTGTTTTCACTACTAGATTTCTTTTATACCTCAGACAAGTCAGTTGTTCTCCCATGACCAAACAACTTTGTCTTGATCTCTTCTACTTTCCTCCTGTCATCATCATTTAATTCTGAAGTGGGGTATCCACGGTCATGTGCTAAATTAAACTTCAGATTCCAGGCTGGAGAGAAAGCATAGGAACACCTGAGATACTACAACATAAAAATGATCTTTTCTAATGATTGTACTATCACAGAAAAGCAACATATGCAACTACCACAATACTTAACATAATCAATAATATGGCAACTTATTAAAAGTTCTTGAGATATGACTTCACTGAAAAGTGTGGGGTTTTTTTTATTTGTTTTTGAGACAGGGTCTGACTATATAGCAGGCTGATCTCAAACTCCCAATCCTCCTGCCTTAGCCTCCCAAGTGCTGGAATTATAGAAATGCACCACCATGAATCATCCAAAAGTCTGATTCTTTGAAAACCATATCCTAAAGATATTTCTCCAAAAAGGCCACTTTAAATATGGCATTCAATCATTTTTATCTTAATGTTCCTTTCAATCTTGAGAGTCTTTAATAATTTCCCTTTTTAGAGTCTGCTACAGTTAACTGCTACTTCCATGAGACTTGATATTTTAAAAATAATAAACAAAACTGAGGACTGGGGGATTTTTGTAGAATGAAAAGATTAAGAACAGTGTAGGCAATTAAACTTAAAGGAAGATTTCCAGGTAAGTTCTGTTGCTTAGAAGTTGACCCTCTAGATATATGTCTTAAACATTATTTCTTTCTCTTTTAAGAAAATTCAACTAAAAGAAATTAATGGGGGTGCTGGGATGTAGCTCGGTGGTACAGCGCTTGCCTAGCATGCGTGAGGCCCTGGGTTCGATCCCAGCACCAAAAAAGAAAAGACAAAAAAAAAAAAAGAAATTAATGGGATTAGTAAATACTTTCTTTTAAATCCTTAACCCATGCTTCAGTGTGAAATATCTTGGCATTTTTCTTTTTATCTTTTTTTTTTGCCCTAATGTCCAATCAGTCCCAAGAATTTTATTAGCAGAGGAAAACTAAAAAAAATGTAGCTTTAAAAATAGAAAATACAAAATAATTTAGAACTGTAGGATATTTCTAATTTATACTTTTCCAAAATTGAGTATCCCAAAATAAGGATACAATGGGAGGATTAGTGAAAACACAAGAGCTTTAGGAACTTGGAAACCCAAGCTACTTCCTTATACTCTGACATCAGAATCTACTTCTCCTAAGACCATAAACTCAGACTACCATTATTAATGCCATAACTTAGCACCTCATTGATTAAATGTTCCTTTTCTGGATTGCTAGTAGAAAATATAATCATTCTAACAGTTCTACAGGAAAATAAATTTAGAACTCCATATACATCACTTTAAGCAAATTATTATACTTCATGTTTATAATCCTGAACGTACGTATGTGACAAATGATCAGCTCTTACCTCGTGCTCTTACACGACATTCCTCTTCCTCTGCGTTTCTAAGTATTTGTCTGGCATGATTCAATGAAGATTCACATTGCAGAAGATTTTTCACATGGGCAGCCAATGAGTCTACACTACCACAACCATCCTCACTGTCTGAAACACCATCTTCCTCTCTGCTATCTGCTATGCTTGTTTTGGGTGAAGCATATGGTAAGAAGTTTAGAAGAACATCGGAAACGGATTCCAAAGACTCTGGTAGATTACTGTCCCATGAGCAGGAACCATGTCCATCACTTACATCACTACTTGAATCACTTTTTATGATAGTCATCATAGGAATAATAATTTTATTCCCAATGACTCCACTATAACCTTCAGGTTCAGACCTTATTATAGATTTGGCTGCTTCATATTGCCTAAAAGTTTCATCTAATTGCATTCTGGCTTTGTTTTCTGCTTCCTGTAGAGGACTTCTAATTGTAGTTGAACTAATAAACTCCCAATTTTCAATGCCTCTCTGGCATTTCAAGTTTGTCTGTGTGCCAATATCCTTCTGTATGCACCTGTTGCTTTGGCTTTCCTCTGTAAACAACTGTCTCTGAAGCAAATCATCACTAGTTACATCAGTTGTAGAGGGTTCTTTGAAGCAAACCATCTTCTTAGATTGTATAAATGAAATATCACTTACATCTCTGAAAGGGACAAGGGGAGCAGGAAAATTGCATCGTTTCAGAGCTATATTTTCTGCCTCCATTAAAAGTGTCCGAATTTCTTTAAGAGTTTTGGAACTATTATCTGTATCCCGGATTTCCTCAGCACCAACATCTCCAAGACCTGAAGATTCTGGCTTACTTAACATAACTCCATCAACTGCCTGAGAATTTAAAGGCATATTGTTTGAGCTGACACTGGAGTAAGAAGAATTCAAATTATCTGTCAGTCGTAGGACATGTCCTGAAACAAGTTTATGTGCCTCACCATGAGAGTAAATACCAGGGGAACCAGTTGGTAATCCAGTAATCCCATCAGTTTGCCCAAAACCACTTGAGACCTTCAGAGCACCTTTAGTTACATATCTTTCTCTATGTGAAAAGGAACCAGGGAGAGCTGTTGGTAACACTGTTTTCTGATTAGCTGGTTCAGGAATTGTTGAAACTGTCAGTGCATTTTCAGTTAAATGTCTGTCTGGTAATCCCTGTGAATAAAAAATATTAGCTTTTTCTCTGTGGAAATAAGAACCAGAGAGAGGTACTGGTACCCCAGTTTTTATATCAGTTGGTTCAGGGACAGTTGAACTCTTTTGAATATTTCCACTTTGGTCTGTATCTGACAACTGCTGTTGAAAGAAAATACCAGGCCTTACTCTTTGAGAATAGGGACTATGAAAAACTGTCAACGGAGTCTTCTGGTCATCTAGTCCAATCACAGTTGAAATCTTGGATTTCTCTCTCTGTAAGTAGGAACTATGGGTAGCTGTTGGTAACTCAGTCTTCTGGTCATCTGGTAGGCTTACAGTAGAAATCTTGAGTTTCTCCTTATCAGAGTAGGAACTAGATAGTACTATAGCACTTCTATTCTGATCAGTTACACCAGGAGCAGTTGAAGCCTTCAGAGACTCTTCAGTTAGATCACTATCTGGTAAGGCCTGCTGATAAAAATCACTGGGATTCTCTCTATGGAAGTAGGAACTAGAAGTTCCTGTTGGTAACCCAGTCTTCTGCTCTGCTGATACAGAAACAGCTGAAACTTTCAAAGGCTCTTCAGTGAGATGGCTCACTGGCAACTCTTTCTGAGAGAAAACAATGGGCTTTTCTCTGTGTGAGTAGTAATTTAAAGGTACTGTTGGTGTCCCAATATTCTGGTCACCTGGTCCAGGAAGAACAAAAACACCAACAGCTTCTTCACTAATATTTGGCAACTTCTGCTGATAAAAAGCATTGGGCTTCTCTTTATACAAGTAGGAATTAGAGGGCACTATTTGTATCCCTGTCTTCTGGTAGGTAGATCCAGGAACCCCTAAGGTTTTCAAAGCTACTTCAGGAAGAGCTGGTACCTCCTGCTGGTAAGAAATGATGGGCTTCTCTTCACGTGGGTAGGAGGTAGAGGGCACTATGTGTATCCCAATCTTCTGGTCAGAAAGTCTAGGAACACCTAAAACTTTCAAAGGATCTACAGTAAGATCTGGCAACTCCTGCTGGTAAGAAATAACAGACTTCTCTCTATGTGAGTAAGGGGTAGAGGACACTATTTGTATTCCATTATTCTGTTCAGCAGATCCATGAACACCTAAAACTTTCAAAGCTTCTTCAGTAAGATCTGGAAACTCTTGCTGGTAAGAAACTCCAGGCTTCTCTCTGTGTGAGTAGGAAGTAGATGGTACTATTGGTATCCCAGTCTTCTGGTCAGTTGGTCCTGGAACAATTGAAACATTCACAGCCTTTTCAGTTAGATGACTGTCTGGCAACTCCTGTTGATAAGAAGTAACAGTCTTCTCTAGGTTTGAATAGGAAGAAGATGCTACAGTAGGTACCCTGATCTTCTGGTCAACAGGTTCAGGAAAAATTGAAACTTTCAGACCTTTAGTTGGCTGAGTATCTGGCAAGGCCTGTTGATAGAGAATACTGGGTTTTTCTCCAGAAGAGTATGAAGAGGAGGATACTGTTGGTTTCCCAGTCTTCAGGTCAACAGATCCAGGAGAAGCTAAAATGTTCAAAGCCTCTGTAGTTAGATGACTCTCTGGCAAAGTCTGGGAGTAGGAAATTATGGATTTATCTCCAAGCAAGTTGGAATCTGAAGGTCCTGTTGGTGTCTCTGTTTTTAGTTCAACTGGTCCAGAAATAGCTGAAACTTTTGAAGTGTCTTTAGTGAGAGGGCTGTCTGGCAAAGCATGTTGGTAGAAAATAATGGATTTCTCTCCACGTGAGTAGGAACTTGAAGGTAATGTTGGTATGCCAGTCTTCTGGTCAGCTGGTCGAGAAGCAGCTGAAACTTTCAGAGACTTTCCAGGTATATGACTACCCGGTAGAGCCTGTTGGTAGAAAATACCAGGCTTATCTCTTTGTGAGTAAGAAGTAGAGGTTATAGTTGCTAAACCAGTCTTCTGGTTAGTTGGTCTAGAAGCTGAAACTTTCAGAGTCTCTCCAGGTATCTGACTACCTGGCAGAGTCTGCTGGTAGAAAATACCAGGTTTCTCTCTTTGGGAGTAGGAAGTAGAAGTTACAGTTGATAAGCTAGTTTTCTGGTCAGCTGGTCTGGGAGCAGCTGAAACATTCAGCAGCTCTTCAGTTAAATGACTGTCTGGAAAGGCTTGTTGGTAAAAAACACCAGGCTTCTCTCTTTGTGAATAGGAAGTAGAGGACAGTGTCAGAGTCTCTGTTTTCTGGTCTGGTGGCCCAGACACATCTGAAATATTCAGAGCATTTTCAGTTAGATGACTGTCTGGCAACATCTGCTGATAGAAAACACTGGGTTTTTCCTTATATGAGTAGGAAGAGGAGACTGTGGTTGGTGCCCCAGCTATCTGGTCAGCTGGTCCAGAAACAGATGAACCTTTGAGAACCTCTTCAGGTGGATGACTACTCAGCAAGGTCTGTTGGTAGAAAATAACAGGCTTCTCTATATGCGAGTCGGAAGGAGAGGATATTGTTGATACCCCAGTCTTCTGATCAATTGGTCCTGAGACAACTAAAACTTTTGAGAACTTTTCTGTTGGATGACTATCTGGCAACTCCTGTTGATAGAAAACAATGGGGTTCTCTCCATATGAGTGAGAAATAGAGGGCACTGTTGGTACCTCAGATTTTTGGTCAGCTGGTCTAGGAAAAGCTGAAGTTTTCAGACTCTCTGTAGGTAGATCTGGAAGCTCCTGTTGGTAAAAAATACTAGATTTCTCTCCATGTGAGTAGGGACTAGAAGACCCTGTTGGTATTCCAGCCTTCTGGTCAGCTAGTTCAGTACCAGCTGAAACTTTCAAAGTTTCTTCAGGAAGATGACTGTCCGGCAACTCATGTTGGTAATAAATACCAGGCTGTACTTCATGTGAGTAGGAAGTAGAGGGGACTGTTGCTGTTCCAAACTTCTGATGAGCAGACCCAGAAATACCTGAAACTTTCGGAGCCTGATTACTTAGATAACTTTCTGGCAATGCCTGATGATAGAAAGTATGGGACTTTTCTCCCTGTGGGTAAGCAGTAGAAGATACTGTAGCTATCCCAGTCTTCTGATCAGATGATTCAGGAACAGCTGAAACATTCAGAGATTCATCAGTGAAATGACTCTCTGACAACTCTTTCTGATAGAAAATACCAGGTTCCTCTCTATATGAATAAGAAGTAGAAGTTACAGGTAGTATGCCAGTCTTCTGGTCATCTGGACTAAGAGCAGCTGAAGCTTTCAGAATCTCTTCAGGTAGATGACTACCAGGCAAGGACTGTTGGTATAAAATACCAGGCTTATCTCTTTGTGTGTAGGAAGTAGAAGTTACAGCTGGTATGCCAGTCTTTTGGTCAACTGGCCTAGGAATAGCTGAAGCTTTCAGAGTATCTTCAGATAGGTGACTACCAGGCAAGGGCTGTTGGTATAAAATACCAGGCTTATCTCTTGGTGTGTAGGAAATAGAGATAACACCTGATATGCCAGTCTTTTGGTCAGCTAGTCTAGGAGTAGCTGAAGTTTTCAGAGTCTCCTCAGATAGAACACTACCAGGCAAGGGCTGTTGATATAAAATACCAGACTTATCTCTTTGTGTGTAGGAAACAGAAGTTACACCTGGTATGCCAGTCTTTTGGTCAGCTGGCTTAGGAGTAGCTGAAGCTTTCAGAGTCTCCTTAGGTAGATGACTAACAGGTAAGGGCTGGTGGTATAAAATACCAGGTTTATCTCTTTGTGTGTAGGAAGCAGAGGTTACACCTGGTATGCCAGACTTTTGGTCATCTGGACTAAGAGCAGCTGAAGCTTTCAGAGCCTCTTCAGGTCTATGACTACTAGGCAAGGGCTGTTGGAATAAAATACCAGACTTATCTCTTTGTGTGTGGGAAGTAGAAGTTACACCTGGTAGGCCAGTCTTTTGGTCAGCTGGACTAAGAGCGTCTGAAGCTTTCAGTCTCTTCAGGTAGATGACTACCAGGCAACGGCTGTTGGTATAAAATACCAGACTTATTTCTTTGTGTGTAGGAAGTAGAGATTACACCTGGTAGGCCAGTCATCTGGTCAGCTGGACTAAAAGCACCTAAAGCTTTCAGAGTGTCCTCAGGTAGATGACTGCCTGACAGGAACTGCTGATAGAAAATACCAGGCTTATCTCTTTGTTTGTAGGAAGTAGAGGTTACACCTGGTATGCCAGACTTTTGGTCAGCTGGACTAAGAGCAGCTGAAGCTTTCAAAGTCTCTTCAGGTCGGTGACTACTAGGCAAGGGCTGTTGGAGTAAAATACCAGACCTATCTCTTTGTGTGTGGGAAGTAGAAGTTACACCCAGCAGGCCAGTCTTCTGGTCAGCTGGAGTAAGAGCAGCTGAAGCTTTCAGAGTTTCTTCAGATAGATGACTACCAGGCAAGGGCTGTTGGTATAAAATACCAGGCTTATCTCTTTGTGTGTAGGAAATAGAGGTTACACCTGGTGTGCCAGTCTTCTGGTCAGCTGGACTAAGAGCAGCTAAAGCTTTCAGAATCTCTTCAGGTAGATGACTACCAGGCAAGGGCTGTTGGTATAAAATACCAGGCTTATCTCTTTGTGTGTAGGAAGTAGAGGTTATACCTGGTGTGCCAATCTTCTGGTCAGCTGGTCTTAGAGCAGCTGAAGCTTTCAGAGTCTCTTCAGGTAGATGACTATCAGGCAAAAACTGTTGGTATAAAATAACAGGCTTATCTCTTTGTGTGTAAGAAGTAGAGGTTATACCTGGTGTGCCAGTCATCTGGTCAGCTGGACTAAGAGCAGCTGAAGCCTTCAGAGTCTCTTCAGGTAGATGACTACCAGGCAAGGACTGCTGGTATAAAATACCAGGCTTATCTCTTTGTGTGTAAGAAGTAGAGGTTACACCTGGTGTGCCAGTCTTCTGGTCAGCTGGACTAAGAGCACCTGAAGCTTTCAGAGTCTCTTTAGGTAGATGACTACCAGGCAAGGTCTGTTGGTATAAAATACCAGGCTTATCTCTTTGTGTGTAGGAAATAGAGGTTACGGTTGATATTCCATTCTTCAAGTCAGCTGGCCTAGGAGTAGCTGAAGCTTTCGGAGTCTCTTCAGGTAGGTGACTACCAGGCAAAGACTGGTGATAGAAAATATCAGGCTTATCTCTTTGTGTGTGGGAAGTAGAGGTTACACCTGGTATGCCAGTCTTCTGGTCAGGTTGTCCAGGAGCCGTCAAAACTGTCAGTGGCTGATCAGTTAGATGAACATCTGGCAAGCCCTGTTGGTATAAATTATTGGGCTTCTCTTTTTGTGAAAAAGAAGTAGAGATTATAGGTGGGATCCCAGTATTCTGGTCAGCTAGTCCAAGGGGAGCAGAAATTTTTAGAGCCTCTTCAGGTAGATGACCTTCTGGCTCAGCCTGTTGATAGAAAATACCAGGCTTTTCTCTACGGGAGTGAGAAAAAGAGGGTACTGCTAGTATTCCAGTCCTCTGGTCAGTTTGTCTAGGAAGAGCTGAACTTTTCAGAGCTTCCTCACTTCGGAAACTATCTGGCAATGCCTGCTGGTAGAAAATATTGGGCTTCTCTCTATATGGGTAGGAAGTAGAGGATAATGTTGCTTTCCCAGTCTTCTGGTCACAGGGTGCCAGTGGCTCACCAGTTAGATATCCTTCTGGTAAGCCTTCTTGATATAAAATATCGGGCTTCTCCACATGTGAGTAGGAAGGAGCAGGGGCTGTTGGTATCCCAGTGTTCTGATCATCTGGTTCAGGAATATCTGCGACTTTCAGACTCTCTTCAGTTAAATGACTGTCTGCCAATGCCTTCTGGCTCAGAGTATCAATGTGTTGACCAATAGCATTCTCTTGAGGAGAACTTGCAGCCAACTGAGATAAGTCCTGAAGAGACAAGGATAAATGAGGTCTAATGTCTGAATCTCCAGGAGTGGTCAGGACACCTGATTTCAACTTGGATTGTGTAACTTCAGTTATGCTTCCTTCAGAAGTGACTCCTAAAGAAAGAGATTTGTTAATATTATATATATACATATGTGTGTGTATATATGCAAATATGTATATTCAATTTTTTAAATTCCTGTACTTGCACTGGAAAAAAAAAAAAGCAGACCTCACTACATTGGCCCATTAAGCTTTTAGAATCAATCCTATGGAAAATAATCATCAAAGGAACAAATGTACATGAAGGTATTAATTACCAAGCAAACTAAAGTTAAAATAATCAACAATACAGTAATGGTTTTAGAATAAAAGTATAACTACTTATGGAACATTATGTAGATCTTAAAATTTGGATTTTTAAAGACTTTTTAATGAGATGGGAAGAGGGATTTGATTTCATCTTACTAAGCTATAGTTGACCTGTTACCGTGTCATGAATGATGACAAAAGACTTAAAACTATAAGTCAGAAACAAAAGATGTCATATGCACAACACAGCAAAGAACCATTAGCTTATTTTCGAGGATTCCTCTCACCCTCAAGTCCAATGAGTACAATGTAATATGGATCAGATGAGTGCTATGCATGCGGTGGGTTTGACTGACTTCCTGTATGGTTTATATGTATGTGTACACATATATGTGTATGTGTATTTTTTTGAGTATATGAAACTAAAAGACTCTAAAGGTTACATTAGGAAGTTTAAACTTAATTCTATATGCCACTGGGAGTTGTTGACAGTCTTCATAAGAATGATAGTGGCAAAGCTGAGGCATTAAGTAAGGATAGGAAAAGAAAGTGTTCTAAGAAGTGAAAACATCATCTGCAAAGTCAAGGAAACAAATGGTATAGCATAATAAAGAAATGACAGTAGTTCAATATGATTAAGGATGCAAATAAGTTTATGACTAAAGATGTGAAGCATGGACTTTCTATAACATGCTAAAAACTTTGGAATTTATCCTATGTAAGCAAGGGTTTCAAATGAGAAGTGACACTATCAAATCTGCCTTTTAAAAAGTATATTCTGACAGAGCATGGGTAGGAGGGAACAAAAGATGACTTATTTTCTATTACTAATATGGTAATCTAGAAAAGAGAAATTGAAATAATAAGAACCAACAGGATTGACTAACATGAAAGAAAATTAAGAAGGCCTTGGTAATTGGACAGAACAATTCAGACTTCAGAAAGGAGAAAGGAAGACATTACCATCAAGGTTGAAGGAGACTGTTAGTTTGGTTTAGTGAAGATAAAAGGTGGTATAACTGGTGACTAAGAATAGAACTCTGTGCTAGGTATGGTGGCACATGCCTGCGTGATGCAGGAAGGTCTAGGCCAGGTTGAGTTACATAAGGAGACCTTGTCTCCAAACAAAAAAAGATTCCCTGTTTCCCTGTAGAGGCCACCAAATAAAGAAAAGAAAACCAGGAAAGGGGTGGGGAAGAACAACAGGGATGGGCAGCTCATACCTGTAATCTTAGCTACTCAGGAGGCAGAGATAAGGAGGACCATAGTTCAAGACAACCCCAGGCGAAAACATTTATAAAACCCCATCTCAACTAATAGAAGCCTGGTGTGGTGTCATACAACTGTCATCCCAACTATGCAGAAAATGTAAACAGAAGGATCACCATCTATGCCAGCCCAGGCAACGCAAGACCCTATCTGAAAAATAACTAGGGCAAAAAAAGCTAGAGGTTATGGCTCAAGTGGTAGAGAACCTGCTTAGGAAGTACAATGTTCTGACTTCAAATCCAAGTACCACCAAGAAAACCCCCAAGAAATTTGCTGGTTGGCTCAACAGTAAAATGGAGATAACAGGAACAGAAGCCGTGAATTTGAGGGCAGATCAATGTCATTAGCAGGACAGGACAACAAAGAGGTAACAGGGTTGTTTATTTTTTGTTGCTTTTCTTTTTTAAATAGAGACTTGGTCTAACAAAAAAGTCTAGGAGTCATAAAATGACAAAAGTGTAACAGAAATACAGAGGCTAAAAAAAAAAAGCATTCAGAGATAATGGCTGAAAACTCTCTAGATTTGGTGAGACACAGAATTCATTCAAGGAGCTGAGTGAGTCCCCAAATAGTATAAACCCAAAGACATTCACCTGAACAATTCACAGAACAATTTCTGAAACTAAAGACAAAGAAAAATCTTGAAAGCAGACAGAAGCAATAACATATTATCTACAGGGAACACCAAGTTAAATGACAGTCAATTTCTTACGGAGGTCAATACGAAATAACCTGTAAAATGTGAATTATGTATCTGGTACACTTATCCTTCTAGAATGAATAGAAAATAAAGACATTTTATGGTGAAGAAAACTACAGAATTTGCCCATAACAGACCTGCCATCAAAGTATAGCTGAGTTCTCAAAACAGAAAGGAAATTACAGGAAAAAAAAAAAAGTTCAAAAAGGAAGAACAGCAACAGAACAACAGAATGGGTAAATAAAAGTAAATATAATACATGAGTTTCTAAGTCATATTTCAAGAATGATGCAAAAGTTTTAACATCACATGCCATCATGCTTAGGGTGTATAAAGGAAATATTAAAATAATTATATTTAAAGTGAGGATGGGTCAAGGGAACTAATAATACTTCATTTCCAGTAGTAAAAGAGTATAACAAGTCATGTAACAATACTGTGATACCTAGAGCAATCACTAAGAAAACTACCAAAAGCAATATACTCAAAATACTCTGAATAAACAAAAATGGAATTTCTAAAGTATGTAAGACAAGCGAAACAGAGGAACAAAGACAAAACAAATAATAAAATTGCAGATGTAAGGCTTAAATACAGCAACTCATTTTTAATGCAAATGGTGTAAGTACACTAAATTATAGATGTTAGCAGTGAATTTTTAAAAAATTGTAAGAAATTCACTTCAAACATAATGACATATAAAAGTTAAAATTTTAAATTAAAAAAAACACCACAAAAATAACTATTGTACAAGGAAGACATCGTGGTGCACAACTCAAATCTTTGCACTTGAGAGAGGCAACCTGGATTACAACATAAAACCCTGCCAAGTGTGGTGGCTCACACCACCCCAGCTACTCTGAAGGTGGAAGATCATGGTTTGAGGCTAGCCCAGGCAAAAAGGTACTAAGAGCTCATCTCAAACAACAAGCTAAGCATAGTGGTACATCCCTATGAGTCCAGCTTCACAGGAGGCATATGATAGGAAGATCACAGCCTGAGGCCAGCAAAAACTCACGAGCCTATGTGAAAAATATCTAAATAAAAAGAACTGAGAGTGTGGCTCAAGTGTTGGAGCACCTGCCTAGCAATCATGAGGTCCTGAGTTCAAACCCAAGTACCATCAAAAATATATATATGTGTGTGTGTTCTATTGTATAAACAAGTCTTTTAAAAGTAGAAGTGGCTATCATATCAGATAAAGTAGATTTCAGAACAAAGAAAATTACTAGGGACAAATAGAGATATCACATAATTATATCAAATCCATCAATTCATCAAGAAGACAGAATATCAAATGTAAATACAGCAAAATCCAGTGTAATGTGAGAAATGCACTAAGAAATGGAAATGGAAACGGTAAAAATTAAATGAGTAAGAATTTACGCAAAATATTTGCCCCTTTTCTATATTCTCTATTGGTACCCCCATCTGCTACTGTGTTCCTTAAGGTTCTGTCCTGGGCATTTTGCTTTTCTCTGTACCTATGTTCCCTCAGAAAACTCAACTATTCTTTGTTTGTTTTTGTAGTTCTGGGGTTTGGACTTGGGGCTCACAGTTGTTAGGCAGGCAATCAACCACTTGAGCTACATACCCAGACCTTTTTTGCTTTGGTTACTTTTCCAACAGGGTCTCAAATTTTTATCCAGCCCAGCATTTTTATCCACTACGATTCTCTCATTTACATCTTCCGTGTAACTAGAATGATAGGAACCACCATGCCCAGCTTTATTGGTTAAGATGGGGGTCTCACTTTTTGCCTATGTTAGCCTCAAACCACATTCCTCTTGATCTCTACCTCTCTAGTAGCTAGATTACAGGCATGAGTCATCATTGTTATGGCATAATTTAACCATGGATTATTGAGATCTTAGAAATTTACATTTCCCACTTTTTTAACTGACTTTGAGAACATTTCAAACCAAATGATTTTCTGACAGATCAAATTCAGTAAGTTTAAAACTAAATTTACTTTCCTACTTGATAAGGGTATCACAAATTCTCAATAATCCAAACCCAAGCTTGTCCTTCTATTTCCAATTTGTAATATAACTGTGAATGCTTCATAATCCATAAGTGGAGCTAATAACCCCTCTTATAAATTATCCTAACTTGTACTTTGGACCCAAGTTGAACCACAGTTCTTCCTGCTCATAATTACAAATGATCTAGGGGTTTATTGCCAATAAAAAAATAAGGAATCGGGGGAAATAATTATCAAGACCCCATTTCAATACAATACTTATTGAACACAGACATGGACACTTCTTTCAATTGCATGCTCCTCACCCAACTGGTGATGGATGACTTCTTCCCAATAGGTATGGGGATGGTACTTGACACTGGACAAATGAGACTGACAATAATTTATTACTCACATATACTCACAGCCTTGGGGAGAAACACTAGGTCATATGGGGGTTACACCTGAGAACAGAATGAATATGCCGGAACAATGAGGGGCTGGATTATAGTAGCAAAAATAGCAAGTGAATGGCTTATTTGAATAATTTCATCAGCTAGCAGGGGAGTGAAGCCCATTAGGTTGATTACCAGGTGATAAACAAATCCTATAGTTGATAGGGGCATTTGCTGGGTGGGAAGCCTTTCCTACTAGTTGGAAGGCATATCTGGTGAGAGCAGGAATCGTGTGGCTAAGTCTTTTGAGGCCCTCCGGTTTCATGTCAAGACAACACATAATAATGAATCATAATTTTAGGCTTTCTACCATAATTACTATCACTCAGGAGCTCAGGATCTTATTGGTAGGAATGAAATGGCACAACTGAATATATCAACAGAAATAATCCATAAGATAGCAAAGAAGAACAGGAAGGAACACATGATAGAAAGGCTGAAAAGGAAGAGCAAAAGGGCCAATCTACCTTTCCCCAATCCCAACTTATAGAATGGAAGATTTACCCCATGCATGGCAAGTTGAGAATACTATATTCCAATTGCCCCATCCTAGCCTGCTTAGAGAATAGAGGTTCTATTCCAGGAGGAGGATTCCAAGAAGACTAGAATGAACTAGTCCCCTACCCAGCACCAGTCATGGAGAAGGGGTATATAATTCCAAGAGAAGTGAGCTGCTGTACCCACTCCCAGATTCCAGGGGAGGACCACAAAGATTCTGCCCAGAAGATGCAAGTCATAAGAACAGAGAGTTCAGCTGGGCATGATAGTACATGTAATGCTGCCTGTAATTGCAGCATTAGGGAGGCTCAGGCAGGAGAATCATAATTTCAAGGCCAATTTGGGGTACACAGTGGTGGGGGGGAGGAACACAACTAAAAAAAGTCTTTCTGAGGTCAGAAAAAAGATTCAAACATTGGTCAAAAAGACTACTCCCTACACAAGGGCTTGATATTAGATAAGACTATGGAGCAATTTATTTAAAACAATAGAGCAATGACCTACCTTGCAATTACTTGTGGCTAAAAGGTGATATTAATAGGGAATGACAAACCAGAAACTTAACAGGGAGACCAAAGAAAGAGATCTGTAAAAGAAAATTGGCCTAAAACTATAGTCTTGGGGAAGGTACAGGTTAAGGAGACTAATCATAGATCAAAAGCTGTCAAACTAGGCACTAACATGATAAAGAAAACAATGTCAAATATTCTCAGCTCAAGAAACAGATATCTTTCTGAGTACAGCAAGGTATTATCTAAAATGTCCACTTTAAAACAAAAAAAAAGTAAGGCAAAGAAAAATTTGGAAAATATGAATCATTCACAGGAAAAAAAACACAGAAGGGCAATAGAAACTCCATTTCAGTGGGGGCTCACATGTTGGACTTTACCAGGAAAGACTTAATATCAGCTATCATAAATATGTTCAAAGAGAATGAAATTATGCTTAAAGAACTAAAAGCAGATATAATGGCAATGTCTAATCAAATACCGAATAAGAGATAAAATACGGAAAAGAACCAATGGAAATTTTGAGATTAAAAAGTTCAGTAACTAAAATTAGAAAACTTCACTACAGGCTCAAGAGTAGATATGGGCAGACAGAAGAATCAACAAACCTGAAGAAAAGTCAATAGAAATTATGCAATCTGAATAACCACAGAGAAAAAAGAATGAAGAAAAATTAACAAAGGCTCAGAGACCTGTGACACAAAATTAAGTGCACCTAAGTACCAGGTATCTGGAGGTGGTAACTGACACCGAAAAAAAAAAGGAGCAAAAACCCACCCAAAGAGATGATAGCTTAAAAACTCCCCAAATAGATGAAAGACATTAACTACATAACTTAGAAGCTCAATAAGCACAGAGATTCACACCAAGACATAACAATCAAAACATTAAAAGACAAAATATCTTGAAAGCAGCAAGAGAAAACAAATTGCATACAAACACAAATAAGGTAACAGCTGACTTCTCATCATAAACAATGAAGACCAGAAGACAGTACAAAGACATATTCAAAGTGCTGGAGAAAAGAACTAAAAAAAAAAAAAAAAAGACTATTAACCAATAATTTTTAACCCAGCAAAACTATCTTTTGAAAAGATGAAGTAGGCTGGGATGTAGCTCAGTGGTACAGCACTTGCCTAGCATGAGCGAGGCCCTGGGTCTGGGTCTGGGTTCGATCCCAACACTGAGAAAGAAAAGACAAAAAAAAAAAAAAAACCAGAATTTGTTGGTAACAGACCTACTATTTTATAATGAATACTAAGAAAAGTTCTGCAAAATGAAAGCAAGTAACACAAGATAATAATTTAAAATAATTTAAATTTATAAGGCAAAACAAAGTTCTAGTAAAACCAATAATGTAGGTAACTACAAAAGAAAGCATACTTACACATTTCTTTTCCTAATTTGAAAAACAATTTTAAGATACATAAAGCAATATTTATACAATTGCATGTAATTATATTTGGGGGACTATAAATATATAAAAATGTATACACTTCACAATAAGAGCAAAATAAGATGAATGGGGCAAAGCTGGAGTAGAACACTGAAATGACATCAGATGGTAAGAAGTATATGTGAACAAATTAAGAGAGTAAGAAATAGTAATAGGAAGATTAATATAACAATCTTTTTAAATACCTGCACTTCTCTAAGCACCCTTAAAATATATTACATGATACAGTTATAATAATGTAATAATGTATTTGGGGATTTATAACACATATATATGTAACAGAAATAGCACCAAAAGAAAGAAAATAGCTATACGGGACTAAAATTTATTATCATACCAGAATTAATTTAGCATAAATCAAAAGTATATTCTGATAAGAAAAATATCATAAGCCTTACAGTCATCACTAAAAATGTAACTTTTAAACTACCTAGAAAGTCAGTGAAGAAATTAAAGTATCACACTAGAAAATATTCACTTAGTGCAATAAAAAACAATAAAGAAGCAACAACAGGACATGAGGCAAACAGAAAACAAAGAGTAGACCATAAAAGGCAATGATATCAATAATGATATTAAATGTGAATAAGCTTCATATCTAAAAGCAGAGTGCAGACTGGATTAAAAACTAGAAAACTCAAGATGCAACTATGTCCCACTTATAGAAGATATATTTTAGATTTAAAAATACAAATAGGCTGAAAGGAAAGTGATAAAAATGATAAACCATACAAGAAGAAACCGTAAGAGCTGACTTAGTAATGTTAAGACAAAATATCATTAAACAAGAAGTGTTACTAGAAATAAGGATAATTTGTAACAATAGAGAGGCCAATTAGTCAGGAACATGTATGTAAACATGTATAAATTTAACAACATAGCTTTAAAATACATGAAGCAAATCAAAGAAAAAAGAAGGGAAAAATAGATAAGTTGATGACTTCAATACCCTACTTTTGAAACTGGAGAAAACAACTAGGCAGATCAAGAAGGATACAGAAGACTTGAATATACAAACCCACTAGAATTAAGAGACATCTACAGAACACACCACCTAACTATAGCAGAATACATATTCTGCCTAAGCATAAATTGTACTTCTAAGGATAAACTATGTGCTAGGACATAAAACAAGCCTCAATAAATTTAAAGGACTAAAATCATACACAGAATTCACTTCTTTTCCCACAAGAAGTGAACTAAGATAACTATCAGACACAGAAGAAAATTCTTCTTATATGGAAATTAAATAATAATTAGACAATCAGAAATTCCCAAATAACCAAAGGATCAATGAAGAAAACTTAAAATGGAAACTAGAACATACTTTTAGATTAATTAAAATCAAAACACAAAAAACACAAGAAAGACTTTCAGCATGCAGTTAAAGGAGTGCTTCGAAATCCATCAATGTCTATTAATAGTTACGTTAATTTAAATAGATGAACCATCTCAAGTCAGTAGTCTAACCACACACAATAAAAAGATAAATAACCCCATTAAAAACTGGACAAAGAAGTTGAACTGACATTTCCCTTAAGATTTACAAATGGCCAATAAGCGTTAAAAAAGATATTTAATACAGTTAGTCATTAAGAAAATGTAAGTCAAAACCACGATAAGATACATCTTAACATTCACCAGAGTAGCAATAACCCTTTAAAAAGACAGTGTTATTGAGGACACGAAGAAATTGGAGGGTAAGGATTACAAGATAAAAATTACAAAAGAACACAAACATTCAGATCATAGGAAATCTCCAGAATCTTGTATGACTTAAAGGGAATAAAGAATTAACTGAGCTACAGAAGACAAAAGTGCATGCAAATAATCTTGTAGAGAAGAAATTAAGAGAGATCAATTTCAAGACAGAAAGCAAGATTATAGCTGGGTGTGGTTCATGCCTGTAATCCCCGCTACAGGGAGAGGCAGAGATTGGGAGGATCTCTGTTAAAATCCAGCTAGGGCAAAAAATCAGCAAGACCCCTATCTCAACAAACAAACCAGGCATGGTGTTAAACTGCCTATAATCACAGGTTGGCAAGAGGCCTAAGGAGGAGAATCCAAGGCCAGGCTAGGCAAAAAAAGTGAGACCCTATCTAAAAAATAACTAAAGCAAAAAAGGCTGAGGACCTGGCTTAAGTAGCAGAGCTCTTGCCTGGCAAGCACAAGGCCTGAGTTCAAAAAAAAGGGCAAGATTATTTGCTGAGGGAGGTGGCAAAGGATTGAGGGAGATTGGGGTTTACTTTATGCTAAAGTAAACGTGGATTAGATGGTAATTCTGAGAAGTAAACTATGATTAGAGATAATGATTTTATAATGTTGTCATCTTTAGGAAGCTGGTGACATGGTTCAACCACTGACTAAAGAACTAAGAACCAGGGAAGCAATGGTATTAATTCTCAGTCTGGAAACTGGTAAGCCACTGGGGCAAGTCCAACAACATAAAGATCAGAAAATCTGGAGTTCTGATGTCCATAAGCAGAGAAGAATGGTGTCCCAGCTCCATTAAAAAGAGAGCAAATTTGCCTTTCCGCTGCCTTTTTGTTCAATCTAGGCCTCAGCCAGTTGGATGGACCCAAATTGGTGAAAGCAGATCTTCCTTACTCAGTCCACTTATTCAAATCTCTTCCCCAGACACTCAAAGATATATCCAGAAATAATGCTTTATACCAATTATCTGGGTATTTCTTAGCCCAGCCAGGTTGCTAGAAAGGTATAAAAAGGTATTTTTCATAAGCTAGCCATACACTGGCAGAATGGCTCAAGTGACAGAGCACCTGCCTTGCAAGCACAAGGCCCTGAATTCAAACCCCAGTACTGGAAAAAAAAAAAAAAAAAAAAAAACGCTAGCCATAATGAGTTAATTTTCAGTACCTTCTTTTTCTACATACCTGCTAAATGTTTGAGAGTCTTTGGTAGAGTGTCAGGAGATACTCTCAACATTCTGAGATTTGAAGAATGATACTCAGGCTCTCTGGTTGGCTCATGAGGAAATGAAGGCAATATAGATGAAAAGGGCTGGTTAATATCCAGACTACAATGATCTACCTATGAAGAAAGAAAAGAAATAAAGAAAGTAAGGTTATATTAAATTCAGACTTCAGCTAAAAAACAAAACTCATTATTTTAAAAATGAACATGGAGCAGTTTTAACATGTACTTAAGATAATGTACTCAACCCTCTTGAGTTTATACAGATGATAACTTGTTTGGTGAATTCTGAGAAGCCTCTACAAATCATTCTGTGGATTTAGAAACCTACCTTATAAAATATTACAAGTAGAAGGCCTAGAAGTTTTCTATCACCTTAGTTTGCTTCTTACAATAATAATCACTGAAGGACTGGAACTATGCTAATATTTTTGACAAGCTCAAGAATTTTCTTACAGGGAGAGGTATACTGCAGGGGATAAAAGAGTAAGAAAGACAAAACGAATATTTTTACATATTTAGAAGAAAAATAAGAGCACCAAAGAACTGTAGGTGTGATAAATTACCAAAACTCATAAGTTCTCAAACTTCTTGAAATAAAAGTAGTAGGGAATACAAATTGATATGAAATAAAAGAATAAAAGTTATCTTCTGAAAAAGAAGTTCCTAGTGTTCCAACAGCTCCTAGTAAGTCCTTGCTAGAAAAGAAATTAGAAACCATAACTGATGATACTAATGCATAAACTTAACTAATGCTTAACTTTTCACTAAATTCATAGTATACTCACATATACTTTCAAGTTTCCTTTTTTTTTTTTTTTGGGTGGGACTGAGGTGTGAACTCAGGACTTCACACCCGCATAGCAGGCGCTCTACACTTGAGCTACACCTCCAGTACATTTTGCTCTGGTTATTTTGGAGATGAGTGTCCACTACTTGCCCAGGCTTGCTTTGAACCTTGATCCTCCCAATCTCAGCTAGGATTACAGGCATGAACTACCAACACCAGGCTTTAGGTTTCTTTATTTCCATGCAAAGTTAATCCAGTTGTGCCCTCTCAAGAAGGCATCCAAAAGCACAAACAAATTTTTCTATCTTCTTTTATCATGTTTTTTTTTTTAATTCTCAGAAAGTTGACAGCTGGGTATGGAAATAAATATTCTACATCTACTGTCTTACAGGTTTCTCTAAGACCAGTAGTTCTCAACTAGGGAAGATCTTGTACCCCGTAAAGGAACAATTTTCACTGTCATAAGTGGGGGATGAGTGAGTTGGTACCTATTGACTAGAGTCCAGAGATGCTGCAAAACCTCCTAAAACACACAAGACAGCTCCCTACAATAAAGTTACCCAATTCAAAATGATAACAGTACTTAGAATCCCTGCTTGACAAACAGCACAAAGTCTTTAAGATTCTATTATCCTACTCCTAAAAAAAGACTTTCTTATATGTGTGTATGTGTGTGTATAAAAGTACCAATCATATGATATATGGATACTTGTGTGAGACAGTGTATATGTTTAACAGTAGTTTCTCCTCACAGCTTCAAAATGAAGAAACATCTATTATAATCTTACAATCTTGATTTCAATAAAACGTCGTATCATAGCTTAAAACTATAGAGCTATTAAAGTAGGTAATATGAAAGAAAATGTAGACTAAAGAAGATGAAAAATATTTAAGCGATCACCAGATCTTCATTACTAATTGAAAATGAGAGAAATCAGGAGGAAAATGTCAAGATTTATTTAATTTCCCAGTTTTTAACCAAAATAAAGAATAAGAGATGACTAAGAAACTAGAAAAATGCTACAAACAAGTTGAATTTGAGATAATGGCAATGTTCACAAGAAATCTTCATTCAAAATGCCAATAAGGCCTAACTCAGGATAAAAATTAAGGTCTAAAAATATAGGTGATAATTACCCATACAGAGATAGGCTTTTAGCTTTTACACCTCAAGGGGAAGGTGGACCACTGGAGTAAGGAGACGTGGAAAGAGGAAAGAAAGAGAGAGAGAAATGAGAGAAGACAAGACCAAAAAAACCCCAAAATGGAACAGAACAAAGAAATCTATGACTGAAATCTTACTTAATTTGTATAGTTAAATGACTGAAATAAGGGATACTAAAAAAGTATGGAATATATGCTGCTACCAAAAACAAGGAGAAACTTAATACACTCACATACACACACAAGGGATATTTGGCAATGCCAAAGGATACAAAGTAGGAAACCACTAGTGACAGCCTAGTCTTCTTGCTTCAGCAACATGAAGGTAACTAACAGACAGGCACTAACGTAAGTGGTATATATCTTACTCCATTTAATAGGAGATTGATTACTGCTATTCCTATTTCTTTAAATAGATGAGGATGTGATCCTCCAATGACATTTGCCCAAGGCACAAGGCTTAAGAAAAAATGTACTGGCTCTGGTTTTTGGTTTTTTGTGTTTTTTTAGTAGTTCTAGCACTTGAACCCAGGGCCTCATGCATGCTAGGCAAGTGCTCTACCACTGAGCTATAACCACAGCCCAGCAAAGTAAATAAAAGTAAATTTGTAAAGTTAAAAATGACTTTCCAATGACTTTCCAAATATCTATGCTGTTTTCACAGCTCCTAGCTGCATTACAAATAAGTAGCTATTCAAACAATCACTTAAAACAATGGGTTGATATCAAAGAAAGTCAAGTAAACATGAACAACTATTCTCAGATAGATAAGGAGAGTAAGGAAGAAAGCAAGAGGTAAGCAAGCTCCCTGAAAGCAAGCTGAACCATACAGAAAGATTTCTTTCATACCTGACTCCTTGCTTCCCTAGTACTTATACTAAGTTACTCCTAAATCACAGAATAGAGCCAACAGTAAAGGACAGTACAGGAAGTATCATCTTTTCCAAACTAAAAGAATATACTTAAGGCTAGAGTTAAAGGCAGATAAAATTTAGAATAGTGATCAAAATTAATCTCAGTACATTAACTGAATATATACTTTCATTTTTAAGATAAGTTTTATCTACATGAAAAGCTGTTATTACTCACAAAAATAGTACTATCAAAAAAATTAGGACTCAAGTTTAAAATTGATTTTGTTTCTCATTCTTATTTAAACTGACTTTAAGCAATCTCCTTCAAAAACTTTCACTCTTGCTAAAGTAACATAAAATCTCAACCTTGGTTTTACAATTGTTAACCAGGGAAGCAGTTCATGATATAGTGGTTAAGTACTTAAACAGGGTTAATTTCCCACTGGATTCCCTATTTAGTGAATGATCATGAGCAAGTTACTTAATCCTCTAAGTATTCATCGTAAAGTGGGGATGAAAATAATTCCCAATAACTGTACTTGACAGGTCTTAGTGAATTATGTATTAACCCAGTATTTGAGCAGAGTGTTAGCTATTTTCATTCCCATTCTAAGATTGAAAATTAGAACTAAACAATGCCTACGTTAGAATACTGAATAAGAATAAGCTAATAGTCCTCTGTTATAATTTTCTTATAAAACAAATAAATAAAAAGCTCATCATGACATCTTTGTTCATCTCCTCATATCAACTAAAGATCTAAATATTATTATAATCCAAACTAGTAGCTTTATAATGACATACCAATCTTATATATAGGGAAATAAGAAAAGGAAAGTAGCATTAAGGACATCACATATTTTCTAACTACATTTAATGAGGAGCAGGACATAAGGATACCTTACAAGTAAGTGGGACCTAGCTTTGAGCCAACAGTATCAGACAAAGAGGATGGGCAAAGGGACTAGAAGAACATTAAAGCCAAGGGATCCTAAGATTCAGGCAAATGAAGCTTTGTAAAGAAAGAATTTTTATAACACACCAGAGTTACCACTTCCTAGTACATATACACAATGATAATAATGAAATATAGGGAGAGAATTTATATGTGCATCAATATATTGCTCATTTGTGAAGAATTCCTTTTGGGAATACTAACTAGTTAGCACTTCAGTATTCTTCCAAGGGAAACATAGATTCTGTACTTTTTAAGAATTTCTGAAATCAAATCTTTCAGGAACTTTTAAACAGAAATATTTGAATAGTCCAAAGCTTGTACATTTAAGACAGAAGAGGGAAAGACACAAAGAATTGAATGTCCCCAGGGATGTGTCTAATCTTAACACTGTCTCAAACATTCTTGCTGGCACAACATGGAAAGAAGATGTCTCAAGATAAAAGGCCTGGAAGTTCCAAAAGACAGCCTTTGCCAAGACACCACAGAACCCACTAAGTCTTAGGGTGTATAAGACAAACATTTCTTTTTTTTGTTTTTTTGGCAGGACTGATATTTGAAATCAGGATTTGTGCATGCAAAGCAAGTGCTCTGCCACTTGAGCCATACCTCCAGCCCCACAAGTTGGTATTAGATGATGTTAATAGATGCTTTGCCTTTGTTACCATCTCTCAACTAAAATATTCCTTTCCCCACCCGTAAGATATGTCAAATAGAAAAACTTACAGGCTTTTCAAAATTGCTCTCCTCTTCAGATGATAGTTGTGATGTAGACTGCCAATGCAGGGAGCTGTCACAAAGATCATCAAGCAAATTCTCTAAAGCTGCTAGCTCAACATACTCACCAGTTAAGTCACATCGATCACATGTCTGGGAAATAGTAAAATGTAAAACAAAAACAAGTAATACCATTTCCTAAAACAATACTGGAAAATACCAGGTTTTCTACTACTATCATTTTATTATGTCTCACCTCTCTTTGTAGTTCAGCAACTCTTTCACTGCACACAACAGCATTTTCATCTAGGTTACAGCATTCAGGGTCACCATCCAGAGTAATGACGTCAGACTCAGCCTTCCCCTGCAGGCCTTCTACAAAATAGGAGTCATTTGGCAAAATTGTATGTATAATAAAACTGGACTGAGTTCCCATAGACAGAGCAATTTCATCTTGGCCTATATCAACTTTCAGCAATGTCTCTTGGCTAACTGCAATTAATGATGCATCACCAGTCAGTGGTAAAGCACCTTGTGACTTCGCATCACATGTCACCAAGTTTGCTGAAAAGCTGTTTCCTATAGCTGCAGGTGGCCCTTCAATGGCATTACTACATTTTGCATCCTTACAAAAACTATAGTCTGAGGAATCTGCAACTTCTTCAAAAGTTTGCTGCTTTAAATCTTGTAAAACCAAAGAATCTGAAGTTGATACTTTCATTGGACAAATAATGTTTGAAGATCCTACCTTCTCTGCAAGATCAAGAGCACAGACTGACTTTACCTTCCCAACAGGAAGGAATGGTTCATTGTATGTATCACACTGCATTAAAGCTGACTGTGTTTTCCCAAGACCAAGAGCCTGGTTGTAAGATTTTTCACTTAAAGAAGCAGATGACTTAAGCTCTGGAATAACAGAAAGTGGCTTAATGGTCTGAGGAGCATTAGGGGGTGATTTGAAATTTGGATACCAATGTAAGGAGCTATCACCATCATCTTCTTTATGCAACAATGGTTTTGAAGCTGCTAGTTCAAATACCCCAGGAGTAGATTTATAGTTTGGATGCTTAAGCTTATCAAAGAAAGAATTTTCATCATTTTTTAATGGGGAAAGGCCTGGATTTGGGGGTTCTCTCTCTTGGCTGTCATCTGTTAAACATTTATTGATGTCAGTTTGGATTTCACTTATACTCTCTTTCTTGGAAGGCTCAATAGAGGCAATAACTGCCTCGAAGGCTACATTTTCAGTAGCATCAACATTTTTCTCACCAAAAATAGAAGATGCCTTTAGATTTCTTTCCTCTTGAAAATATAGGTGCTCTGATGTCTCATCCAACTTGGATTGAACTGTGTGAAGAGGACCACCAGAAGCCTCAATCTTAGAGATATCATGTCCCCTGGAGAGTATATGTGCTTCTGAAACTTGTTCAGAATTATTAGCAACTACAACACTCTCAATACATTTTATATCTGGAGATCTGGGATATACCTCTGATGACATCAAACTACTTCTAGTCTCCTTTTGTTTAAAATATTGAGATAATTCTTTCTGCAGATCTTCATTTCTTTCATAACCCTCCAAAGAATCCATCTTTTGTTTCATCTCATTCTCAGCTAGAGCCCTTAAATCAACATTCTCAGAATAATGACTATCAGAGCTCAAGGGAACCTCTTTTCCTCTTCCTTCCAACAGACATCGTAAGAAAGAATATGACTGTTTATTATGAGGAGGAGGAGCAACTTCATGCAGAAAAGAAACATGATCCTTACTGGTAAGACATATTTCTGCCAGCTGTGAAGCTTCCTGTTTCCAAAACTCCACATGTGAAGAAGCATCATCAAAACCATCATTTCTCCTAGTAGCTAGGTTTTCATCACAACTATCAGATAAAGTAGAACCCGAAACTTGGTCTTCATCAGCTAAATTGCTTTCTGGCTGCTGTGTATCTTTTCGTGTCTTCCATGATATATATGCATGATAGCTGTCAGAGTCTTTGGGAGTTTTCAGTTCATTAACAGCATTACATGAAACATTCTCTTCATTATTTCCTTGTTCAGGAGGTAAGAAAGAATGCTGAGACCCAATAGTTGTGCTTCCTGTAAGTGGATGCTGAGATATACTAAAGCAACTGTTAACTATGTCTGAAGATCCTTCTGAAGTAGCCTGGAATAAAGCTTCACTAACTTCAGACGGTCGAGAAATCCCTTCATTGTCTTCAGACTTATCAAGAATTCCTCTGAAACAATACAGTTAAAAATAAATAAATAACACCTTAACAACATTTAATTTTTAAGCACTAACACAAAAATACAAACTTGGTAAGTCAATGAAATCAAGTTTATTTGAAGGTGTGTTAAAAAATAAATTTCTAGTTTCAAATTCCTAGAGCTAATGACTGAACAAAGAAAATTATGCAACTAGAAGGTGAACTACAACACTATAATCTGGTATTATTTCAGACTTCCCTAAAATAATAGATTCTGATTTCAATTTTGCCCAAAAAAAAAAGGTTCTTAAAAGAAAAATTCAAAATACACTTTTAATAAACTTTGCAATCTTAAATATTTATCACCCACCATGACTTAATATTCATTTTAACCTGCATTAATTTGTCTACTAGTCATTTATTAGGCTTGTGAAAACAACTCAAGAAGTGATCTATTCATGAAATACAATCATAACTTAATCATTGGTTGAAAATCTAATGGGGTGATTATAAAGTAACAGCACAATAGCAGAGGGTACTTTTTACTTTCTAAATATCTAGTTGTTTTTAAGGTAAATTTTTCTTTTAGTTCTAAAAAAAAACTTATATTCTTGGATAATTCCAAATATGTTTTGAAGACTTCTAGACTTTTCTCTCATTATGATTTTTCTAAAAGATATCAATTTAGAATATATCTTTGTTTTAAAATTTTGTTATATCATATTCACATTACTATAAGGTAAAGAGAGCTAACTAGGCTGATTCAGTAACAGCTGGCCAAAAGGAGAAACCAGAGGAGTTTATAATCTAGAACTGAATGCTTTTTTGCAGAATGAGGAGGAAAGGGGAGAGAAGGATGATGGCAGCATACAGGGATGTTTACAATACAGAAAATCCAGTGCATCTTAATTAAATCCAGTGTGCCTGAAATAAGATACATTAGAAATTAGCTTTAAATAAATTATAATCATCTGGCACATCACTACTCATACATCTATGCCAAATTAACATGCATCATTTAGGGCCTCGTAAGTGTTTGATAAGACTATCTAACCCTTACTCCAAAGTCTCACCTTAGATTAAAGTCATTAATATTAATAGTAACTTGTAATAAGAAAGAATAGAAAGATTTGTGGCAAATAAATCATCCTACCTCAGAGGTGCAAAATCTAGTTCACTTTGGTGAAATAAGGAATCAGGCCCAAACTCCTGGTCCTGTGTCAAACATGTCAGCAAAGGCAAGTCAGGAGAAGCAAAGCTATCTTGTATGACTGCAAAGTTTCAAATAAAAAATGATGATCAATCTGAAAATAAGTTCTCTGGCTTACTTATGTAATACTTTAAAGCACCTAAATATGCTGCTATCTGGACATTTCTACAAGCATTGGAATAGTAATACAACAACAGCAGCTACCACTTATTGAGCCTGACAAGGTTCAAATATTTAACACACATTTCATCTAATCCTCACTACAACCCTGAAGGGTGAGTACCATTATATCTACCTTAAGTGAGGAAACATGATTACAAATCTTAAGAAATATTATGTAATTTGTCCATGTGTAAATCGCTTTAAATGCTTTAAATAGCTTTAAGTTGGCCATAGCATTCTAACTCTTGAGCAATACTAAACTATTTTAGTATCTCTTAACCATTATGAGTGTTTCTTTCAATCTTAAATAATATAAAGACTTATACCCCTTATATCAAAGTGAAGTCCAGAAGCTCCTAGGCCCTAAAACACTCTTAGGAGAGAACTAGGGTCAAAATTATGTTTAACATTAAAATATCATTTGCCTTATTTACTCTCATTCTCTTAAAATGAAACAGTGCCCTTTTCCAGAGATTGTATTATACATGATATAGTAACAGAGTGAATGCAGTCTGTTAAGACTGATAAGACAAGGTTAGAAATTACAAAGTTGTTGATGTTGCTGTTGTTCTGAGTAAAACAAGACC